AATATATTTCATTATACATAGGTGAAACATGGTGAAAAATAAATATCTCCTACTTAAGTTAGCATCAACATTTGTTCTTTCAAGAGGACACATAATTTTGACAAGAATATAAAAAGAAATTGCTTTGCTTACATAAAAAATAAGTGTATATGTAAAAATTTTTAAAGAAAAGATTTCATGTTATATTTATATAAGTGAAGACCAAATGGATTAATATTCATAACCCAAAATAACAAATAGTCATTGATTGGTGATAAGTTTGTAAAATATTATAGCCAAATAACACTAACGATTATGACAATTTTGTGTCATTCTTGTCTGCATGTAAAAGAATTCCATCAGTTACTATCAGGTGAACAGATTTTATATTTTATTAGAGGCCCCTCTCCAGCAGCTATTTTTTTTCTTTTTTTTTTTTTTGTAGAAGGCCTGTCCTTCAGAAGGCAGAATAATCTTAGCTAACCCAATAATTGACAATGCCTCCCAACCAAAGGCCAAGCAATTCTCTGGTGTTTGCTATATTCTATTCTGGGCTGAGCTGCTCTGGCAAGCTACAAGCACAGACAGTAACCACTGGCTCATCCTGAGTATCCTCAGACTTCCAGTTTTATTTCCAGAAATACTGATGAATTTGTTTTACCCACACTTTCCCTTGGGCTCAGTCTGTTTTTATGACCAATATATTTACTTGGTGACTCAGAACACAATAGGTAGAAGAAAAATAGGCTAATTAACTGGCCCGTTTGGGAATGAACTCCAAGTTTGAGAGCCTTTGTTTTTGTTTTGTTTTGTTTTGTTTTGAGAGTTTTTTGCTATAGGGTGTGTGCACTCGCCAGAGAGACAGAAAGTGAGAAATCACCCCCCAAGAAGGGGGGATGGTCATGCCGCAATCCCTTCTCCTCTATTCTTCTCTCAGGATCATGGGCACACATGCACACATGCCCGGCGTGAGTTTAAGCCACTGGGTCCAGGACTCAAACCATAGTCGACTACATAGGAGTCCAATGACATAGCCATTACACTAGCTGCTGATCCCAGAGAGACTTTGGTTTTAATTGGCAAAAAAGACTAATCACACACACACACACACACACACACACACACACACATATTTATTTCATTCATGAGAGAAAGACAGAGAGGAAAGAAAGACAAGTTACTTCCAACAGAGCCCTCACACCATGATCTGCCCACGTCATAGCTGGCCTGGATCATGTACATGTGTGTGCCCACATGCTCAGGGAGGTCCTAGGACACAAACCCAGAACCTTTCCACAAGGGACCAGTTGCATTACTGCTGTGCCAGCAGTGCCAATAATATATTAAAATCCACTCCTGAGGCAGTTCATTTTCTTCCTTTCCTCTCATTCCCTTTTGCATTTCCCCACTGCCTCCCTTTATTGATTCAGGGCCTCCTGTGTGACATGGAGGTAAAAGGTAAACTTCTCACCAGCTACCATGGCTGCGCCTGAACAGAGAAAGTTTTGGGAAAAACTACTGCTTGGGTTCAAATAATGAAATGCTCTGAGATGCCACCGATTGTACTTCAAGGAGAGCAAAGGTAGGGGACCAGCAGGTGGCATAGTAGTTAAGGTGCTAGATTCCCACATGGCTGACTATGGTTCATATCTGGGACCAGGTGGCTTGAAACAAGTACATGTGCATGCATGCCCAAAATCTTGAGAGGAGAATGGAGGAAAAGGGATTGCAGCGTGGCCATCCCTGTGGAGGGTGATTTCTCATTTTTCTGTCTGTCTCTCTCTGGCAAGCAAACATGCCCTATAGCAAAAACTCTTTTAAAAATAAAAAGAATAGTAAAGGTATAATGATATCACCAGGGGCTGCTACCTAAAAGAAAACCGGGTATTTTAGAATTGGGAGGTGTTTCAAAGATCACTTAGTCCAATTTTCTTAGCTTACAAATGAGGAAACTCAGGACCAGAGACATTCAGAATCACAACGTCAATTAAAATACAGAACTGGGCAGGAAACAGCAGTTAGCGTAATGGCTATGTCGCTGGACTCCCACGTAGTCAACTGTGGTTCGCATCCTGGACCCGGTAGCTTAAAACTCACGCCGGGCGCGTGTGCGTGTGTGCCCAAGATCCCGAGACAAGAATGGAGGAGAAGGGATTGCAGCGTGACCATCCCCCCTGGGGGGTGATTTCTCGCTTTCTGTCTCTATGTCTCTCTCTGTCTGTCTGGTGAGCGCACGCGCCCTGTAGTGAAAACCTCTCCAAAAAATAAACAAACAAAAAAACCAGAACTAGGAATTTCTAGTCTAGATTTAGTGTTCTTACCAATGCTGCTTGTTATTTAGCAATAAAATTTCAGCACCCTATCTGTGATTAGTATCATGCTTTAACTATTCTGCTTTGTTTTAAAAATTTGAATTTCAGTTTAAAAAATACTGAACAGTTAGAAGTATTAAGAGTGTCTATTAAATATCAGAGTTTGCATCACGTGATTCTGCAGGTCTAAAATATACAAGTTTTACATTTACAGGCATAGGATATGGGCTTATTTGCTTTAGGGAGAAAATAATCTATTTTTTTCAGAAAAAACAAGTGCAAATGTGGCACATGCTGTGAAGACCACCCTTTTAAAGATTATTCTTTAGTAAATAGTCATGTAAATCTGACATGACTTATTGGTATGGAGACTAAAGTTGTATCAAGGCCACATAGTACCCTAGGCAATCTCTTTAAATGCATAATTTATAATATAACCTCTGTTGCTACCTGAGAGACCTAGGTAGAATAATGAATTAATCCAGCAGAAATAGCCCCTTGGAGGATTAGTTAACATTTAGCTAGGGTCACCAGGCCAACTGGATTAGTAGTTTCAGGCTATTCCTCACAGAGAGCTTGCCAGATGACACAAAAATCTAACATATTTTTAAAATTTAAAATAAATCTCCTTGAGCTGCTTAGTTGACTATCTAGGTGTGGAAGGGCCTACTGATGCTTAGGATTTATTTGTTCATATTTTTAAAAATGTACTAACTCCTGGTACCAAAAATAAGCTACCTTCATAAAATCAAGATGGGAAAAAGTTGGACATTCAGGAGATTATATGAGGGTTCAGGAAAAGAGGGAATAAAAATTAAAAAGAAAGATAAATATGGAAGAAAAAAGAAATAGAGGGAGGTATACAGTTAAAGAAGGGTAAAGCAGAGAGAGGTACAGAGACATAGAACGGAAAAGGAAAAATAAACAAAATAAAGAGACAAATGATGGGTGAAAAAAAAAGACAAGATCCAAAGGAGTTATGACAAGTGGGAAGGAAGAACTGAGATGAAGAAGCCCAAAGATTAGCGATATTTACAGCTTTGCCAGAAAAACATCCTGTCCTGGGACCTACCTAGACCCACAAATATATGGTGAATGGGGTGTGGTGGCGCCTGCCCTATGACAAAAAACATAGGGCAAATGAAGAAGTGAGAAAATGAGTTTATGTATGTCTCTATATATTTGGATACTGATAAATCCATCAAATATTGCAGCTACCCAGGTTTTTGTCTTACTTCTTGACATTCCTTCTTCTTGCTCTGCAAGAACATTGAGTGACCTCATCCAAACCCAAGCTTCAGCCCCAGGAATGACAATGACTTCCTGACTGTGGAAATTAGTTCCTCGCCTACAACAGCCTATACAACTGTTCAGTGGAACTGAAGAAACCTCGAACTTTACATGTGCAAAGCTGTAAAGAAATTAAATCTATCACAGTTAAAGAAGAAGGGCAAAGAAGAGAGAGCTATCTCTACTCTCCAACTATGTTCTAGTTCCTATTGTCCACACTTGGGTGAATGGTGATTTCCACTAACTTGTCCACACCAGTAACGAGGTCCTTTCAATAGTGCTCCTTCTCCCTCCAAACAGCGACTAAAATGAATTCCTAAGTATTTCTCAAGTTACTTCCTCTTTCCATTCACTTTCATTCATCCTCCTGACTCAAGCTCGGCTTTCTCTTCACTTTGCTCAATCCTAACACCAGAGAAATCTTTCTAAGATGAGAATTACGTCATGTTTAAAGACCATCGGCAGAATTCAGAATCAAATTCAGCCTTGTTACCCGACCAGATAAGATGGTCAAGACCTCACTGTGCCAATTTCTCCACCCTCACCTCTTGCTATCCATGACTTTATGCCCCTGTTCTGTGACCAGAAGTGTTTTCACACTACAGAGTAAAGGAATAAGACCCATATATTATTCTCTCTGTTTGGGAAAATATATTGCATTTTACCATCTGTATTTTTATGTTGATCATCTTTATATAAATTAACATTTTTATTATTAAGCAAGTTTTCATGTGTTTTTATAAAACAAAGTCTTCTGTATTCTTTAAGTAAGGGAGAAAAGGCTCATTTAGATCCAGACCTGTTTTGCTCCTCACCCAGACTGTGCCGTGGCTAGTCAGGGGAATCTTATAACAGACAACACACTTTATGCCTTGTCCTTCCTTGTACATGCCAATGCCACGCACTTTTTTCTGTTGGGCTGTTCTTTAAGGTGCTCTTTCTCATGGCTGATTGCACTGTTTAGCTGCCTTAGCATGGTGTCTGCAACTAGCATGGGCTCAATATATTCTATCGTCATCATCAACATCATTATAATGGGAAGAAAGTGTCGTTTTTCTCATATTATCAAGAATATCAAACACGTCAGCATGTTAGTGATAAGCACTAAGCATTTCCTAGTGCATTAAACGGCTTTTACGGTTTTACAGAGCTTTCTGTACCACTCTGTGCAAAGTCAGGTGATTCTTCTGTTTTTCTGGCATGCTCTGCCTTATCTATTCAGGCAAAATCACAGCCATTTACTCTAAATTTTTGTCCCATAACACTAAACGCTATATGATGAAAAATGTGAACAATCACAGAGTCACAGATGTGTCTTAGTCATTAAAGCCAAACCAGTAACTGAATATTTCACACACACAAAGCAACCTGGCAGACAATGGGATGTAACTCTAGCTTTGGCAACAGCTAGGAGCTCACCTTTTCTTCATTACCAACACAACTCCAAGAAATATAATAACGAACAGCAAGATGCCAGCAATGACTCCAGCAATTTTGACCGTGTGGTCTGTCTGCTTCTCAGGTTCTGGGACTGGCTTTGGAGTAGCAGCTCCTGCAGTTGAAAGGAAATGAAAAAGAAGAGAGAGTGGGTAAGAGAGAATAAAGATATTACATTTTAAAAAAATTTGCTGCATTTAACAGCATAATAAGACTTATCGGAGCCAACAGACAGACAAGCTTTCGTTTCTTAAACAGCTTTCATATGCTCTGAAAGGAGTATAATTGTTTGCGTTGTTCTTCAATATTTTACTAAACCATAACACAAGCTGGATTGCACATCCTTGCCTGACCCTTTTATAAGAGACTCTTCTCAAACACAATTTAAAAATATTTTTATTATCTCTATTGGCTCTTGCTCTTTCTGCTGTTTGAAAACTTGCTAACCACACAGTAGCTATCCCTTGTAAGCCTTTATCCAAATTTGATTTGCTGGAACATTTTCCTCAATTATTTTTCATAAATGAAGCAGCAATTCCATAACATATTAGCCCAAACACCTGGAAAAGTGAGATAAGCTCATTTACCATGCATTTTACCAGCAATTGTTTTTTAACACAATAGTTTCCCCTCCTGCCTTTGGAAATCTAAATCTAGGTCACATCTGGTAGGCAAGACTCCTTCTAAGCAATTTATTCACAAAGTGGGAAGCAGCTGATGATCACACCACTGGCACCCACATTTAATATCTGTTTAAATGAGATAACCAGGGCCTCACAGCAGCGGCTACTGTCTTAGCTCCCTTCTCTTTCCCATTTCCAGAACACCGTTTGTCCTGTTTACAGTATAATGTGATGGAATGTCAAACCCATGTCTGTTGAAATATCCATTTCCTCTGCTAAATGAGTTCAGGATGAAAAATATTAGGAGTATACGAGTGTAATGTTCAAGTCACTAAACAGATTTTTCTTTTTTTTGAAAGCTTCTACTTTTTAAATCAGGATATGATGGTGCTCAACTTCTGAGCCATTATATCACCCTTCCTAAGTAGGCCTAAGTAAACTTACCTAAGGACGTTTATTTTTATATTTATTCATAATTAACATTTTATACAAGAGACTGTGCACCCTGAACTCAGCTGGGCTATTAGACTGACATGAGGAAGCCAGTTAAGATCAGGGAAGAAAATGAGGCGGAAGATGCAAACGCCACATTTGTCTCAGTTTCCATTACAAACACATCCCATCAAAGTGACAGTCATAAAGACAGCAGTTGCAGAGTAAAATGCACATGTTATTAAGTAAAAGCTGTCTCGGATAAACCTTTACAGGTCAGTTTTATTCCTGACAACTTCAAGAGGATGATCTGCTATGTTGTTTGAATGAAAATCCCTGGAACTAGATGTCCAGTTAAACCTTGAAAGTATTCATGTTAAATCGTTATGATAACTATATCTGAAATATACCACTCGAACATACTACTGAAATACACAACCAGCTGTACAATGTGGAGGCAACTGCCCCAATTAAAAAACTGCTAAGAAAACTGAAAGATAAAATGCGTATGTAATGGATAAATACAAAGTTTTTTTTTTAATCAAGTAAGCAAAAAGAAGTAACATTTCAAATCTACAACACCAAAACAATTTTCAGTGCTTTTCAATTTCCATTTTTTATTTAATTAAGAAAATAAAAACTTAAAAAAAATCAAGTTGCTTTATTCTTCCAAATGCTGACATACTGGAAGCCATTCCACTTCTCACCATAGAGTGCTAGTTTTCCAAATATATTTCTAAATAAATGATTTTTAAAAATTTACTTATTTCCTCCATGAGCAAAAGAGACAGAGAACATCCCCAACAGGGTCTAAACTCAAAGATCTAGCCCCTTCCTCGGCCGGTCCTGGATCATGGCATCTGTGTACTCAGGAAAGTCTCTGAACATGGACCCAGAAACTGCCCATGTAGGTCAGTCTCACAGACCACTGTTTTTAACTGCTGCAGCACCGGCTGGCTCCTAAACAAGGTTTAAAGTGTTTTGGTTTTGGTGACTAAATTATGTTGGAAGTATAATACCGGGGAAAGAAAGTGTTCTGAAAAACTTACTGAGATTAAAAAATTTAAATATAAAAAATAGCATGGATACAATCAAGACATGTAAGTAAACTCAGTAAGAGAAGAATTTGCCCAAAGATAGTTACATTTGCTTCTGTTAATCAACAAATACAAGTTGAGCATCTCTTATCCAAAATGGCTTGGAAGATCTGCATATACATAATGCAATATTCTGGGACTGGGACCGAAGTCTAAACATAAATTCCATTCATGTTTCACATAACCCAAAGGTAATGCTATTTTATTTTTGTTTTCTTTTTGGTATTGCAGCATTTTGACTATGACTTCTCACATGAGGTCAGGTATGGAATTTTTTATGTAGGGTTCCCAAAAAGTTTCAGATTTTTGGAGCACTGCGGATTTTGGTATTATGGACGTTCATCCTGTAGTTATTTTTGCAACAGTTTACCTAGGCTCTATGAGAACTAGTGAATGATTCTGTACATTCTGCTTTGGACTGAGAGGTAGTCCCCTGCAGCATTTTGTCCTCTTCAGGAAGCAGGCAAGCACATTGTTATGCAGCTGGCATAACCTCAGTACTATCATTCTTTAGCACTGACTTTTAACTCATTTCACATTGCAGGTCAAGAAAATGAAATGTTCTATCTCTGCATGACACAGTTGCAAGGCGATTATGGTAGCAATCATGCAAAATGGGACAGTAACTCAAAAAAGGTAGGAGGGTTGTCTGTGACTCAGCTTCTGGATGATTCTGGTGTTTGAGTTTAAGATTATTCTGGAGAAGCATCAACATAAACAAGAAACTGGGATGAAATAAATCACAGTAAGTCACTTCAGATGATCTGATGAATGGTGCTATTGTTTGAGTATGTTCCCTGAAAATTCATGTGCTGGGTCACTGGAATGGGATTAAGAGTATAAAAATTTGACTGTTATGTTGAGAGGTGGGGCTTGTGGGAGGAAATTAGGATTCTGGTCATCAGTCACCCATGACTGACTCCTGGTATAAGGAGAGGGAGTGAGACAGAGACGTGCATATGGAACACAGACCACACTCTCCTGCCCTCCGCCATGTTGTGATGCAGCCCCATCGGAGGTGGCCCTGGACCTTGGACCTTCAGTGAGCTAAGAAATCACCCAGTTTCGGGTATTTTCTGTTGTTAGGAACTACGTGGGCTAGAACCGTGGGTAGCGTAGATTCTGGGTTTCCTCTAGATGCAGCAACGGCTGCCCTTCTCCAGAATTCTTCTCCCCCTTGTCCTTCCTGAAAGGAGTATCTCTAGGTTCTCCTTAGACAGGACACTCACTTCTCCACTTTTACTTCATTGGAAACATGTAGTTGTGGTTAGGAGCTGTCAGTCAGCCTTGGACAGAGGACAATGTATGACAGAATTTGGTTGCAACTGATAGTATTTTTCCACTTTTACCCAAATCAAAACTAACAAATCCACTGGCCAAAGAGTAGTTTTAATATTTTCTCCTCTGTTATTATTTTTTTCCAGGTTTCCAATGACATACATTTTATTCGACTACCCCCCCATCCCTTTTGTATAAATCTAATTCTTCATAGAAAGGCATTTTTCCCTCTCTTTTCTCTCCATTATGCTTAGAGTATGGCATGTTTTAATTCTTTTTCAAGAAAATAAACCTGAAAGTGTGCACATAACAGTGGGCATCATGCAGGCTTGATCTTGTTCATTAAAATGATGACTAAGCTGTCACAAGGAAGGTGGGGGTGAGAGGCTGCTAACTCCAGAGCACAGTCCTCATAGAAGTCCACTCTACTGACTCCTAGTGATGATTCTGCATATTTTATTTATTTATTTATTTATTTGGAGAGATTTTTGCTATAGGGTGCGTGTGCTCGCCAGACAGACGGAGAGAGAGACATAGAGACAGAAAGCGAGAAATCGCCCCCCGGGGGGATGGTCACGCCGCAATCCCTTCTCCTCCATTCTACTCTCTGGATCTTGGGCACGCACACACACACGCCCGGCGTGAGTTTTAAGCCACCGGGTCTGGGAGTGAACCTCGGTCGACTGCGTGGGAGTCCAGAGACATAGCCATTATGCTAACTGCTGGTTCCCTTTTATTATTTATTTTTATGTTGAAAAATTTTAAAAGGGTGGCATTCTAGGTTAACTGCATTGTTTAAGGTTTCAGATAAAACATCAAGTAAGAGGAAATATCTTTAAAAAAGGAAATGATTATCCAATGCACTATTTGGTTGGTTTACAACTTGGCAGAAAACTGTCAGTTTGGGCCTAGTGCCCCGTTATAAATTAAATAACAGCAGCGAGCCAGGCTGAGAACACAGTATCTCAGCCACTGGCTTGAGGTCGGGGCTCCATTTTATTTTATTTGTATTTTTTAAAGAGAGAGATTTTGCTATAGGGTACATGTGCTTGCCGAAGAGACAGAGAGAGACAGGAGACAGAAAGTGAGAAATCATCCCCCAGGGGTGATGGCCACAACTGTAGTCCCTTCTCCTCCATTTTCCTCTCAGGATTTTGGACATGCGTGCACATGCACCTGGCATGAGGTTTAAGCCACCAGGTCTGAGACTTGAACTACGATCAACTACGTGGAAGTCCAGCAATGTAACCATTATACCAGCTGCTGGTCCCCTGGGCTCCATTTTGACTACTGGAACTGGCATCACAGATTTTCCTGCAAGACACAAGGCTACGAGCTCAGAAGACCATGAAGATCTTCACTGATGCCGGGTGCTATTGACCTTGCTGTCCACAGAACTGGGGTTGGTCTTGCTTTGCTGTGCTCTTGGAACTTGTATTGTGATCGGGAAAGAAGACATGGATATAAACCAATGCTGCAAGCTGTGTGTTCGCTGGTGCCGTGTACTGGCCCTGCTGCACAGAACTATCAGGAAGACCAGGAGTGGGAAGGCAGGAAGCTGCTGGGATCAAGGATCAGAGAAGGAACAGGGACCTGAAGAAAAAAGGGAGTGAAAGAGGTGGTATCCAGGGCAGAGTATCCTGCACGTCAGGAAGGAAAGGTTATAAGGTACAAGATGAGATTTC